AATGAAATGAATTATTACATCTTATACAGGAAGAAAACAAAAAAGCTGAGTGAGTAATAGATTACTAAAATCTGTCTTTTAATTTTATGAATTAAGTCTAGTTCTATTAATTTTTAAGTTATAACTGAATCAGACTAAACATGAGTTAACCAACTCAATTTGTTCATGAAAAGGACCAAACTGTTAAAGCTAAATCTTTTGTATGGCCCTACGTAATGCAATAATGGAGTGCGACCGACAAGGCATGGCCCTTAACAGTTAAAAATGCGTTCGGCTAATTTTTATTTTAGTTCTGTATCCTCTTTAATCTTCATCTTCTTTTACACTGGTTTTCAGCTCTTCATCATGTTCATTTCTTCTTACTTGATAGTCTTCCTTCTTTTATTATTTTTTTCCAGCTTGGTTGAACCGATCAACCCGCCAGGTAGGTTAGATCACACCAATTAATTCAAGGCCATCCACCACTAACGTATGTGGGGGGCAATTGAATTTTTTTTTGAAACTTTCTTATTTTCTTTGTAAAAAAAGTAAAAATTAGTATTAATTCCTCATATTTTAAATAGTTTTCAATTTTTGCCAGTCCCTGTTTCAAGCCATTGAGCCTCTCGCGGGTTAAACACTCGACCGGATTGGTCAGGTGATTAGCTTACCGGTTACCGATCTAATTCAGGTTTCAATATAATAAACATTAAAGATAAAAAGAAAATTATTGTTACTTCTTATAATTATCAAACGATCTTTCAAGTATTGTTGTATAAATATTTTCATTGATATATAATAATAATTTTTAAATGTCTTTTTGTCACCAAATTATTATGATTTTTTTATAGTATTATAATTTTTATTTTAAATGGTATGAATTACAAGTCACAATGAAGCGTCTTTATTGAATAATCCATTTACTATACTCCGGTACGTGTGACGTTACGTGGTTAAATAAATATCCCACACTTGAGTGATGTTGATTCATTAATTATAAATAGTTATTCAGGCCAACAAAAATTATAAATAGTTACGTATGAAATTACATTAAACATTTGTCCATGTTAAAGATACTCATGTAGTCATGTGAATCAATATACGTAATCAATAATTCAATATCCATTCCATTATAAAACTTGTCAGGTGTTTTTTTTTTTAACCGAAAAAACCTTTTGTTTTTTGGACAAGAAAAAAACCATTTTTAAGGACTCATCTTCTTATAAAATTAGAAAATTTATTTAAACTCGTAACAATACAAGAGATCTAGCTAATTAAGGAAAAAAGAGCTTATAATGTGATAGTTTTGCCCTTCCTTCGGCTTCCCTTATTTGAGTGTTGCCTACTCCGCAGCTCCACTACATTGGGGGAAAAAAATCTGGACCATTCAAAATTTAAATGGTCAAGATTTAATGATTTTATTTTTATTTTATATTTATCATAATAAAAAATTTATATAAATTATAATAAAAATTAATAAATCTGTTCAGGATAGTCTAGATTTAATATAAGTTGTCTAGAGTTAATATTAAAATTTTATAATTTTTATAAATTAACTTTCTAGATATATTTTAAATAACACTCTTTTGATTCTCTTTATAAGTTATTTCTATGAATTTTATCAATACTAATACAAAAAAATTACAAAGAACAAAATGTATAAAATTTTAAATATACTCCTATATAACAAATTTAAAAAGTGATATTATGTTACTTTTTTTATCTCATGGAGAATAATTTTAAATTTTTTTTTCAAATATTATCTAAAAAATTGTGCCCCAACTTATAAATGGGATCAAATTGATCTTCTAAAATGAGTTTTATAAATGAAATCGGAGGGAGTACATATTTAATATTGATTTTTTATAATTTTTACAATTACTAATATTAAATTTAGATTATTTATATTAAAATTAGACTATCTAGACCAGTAATTAGATATCTTAATTTTATTTTATAAATGAAAGTAAAAATATTACAATTGCGGTGGTCAAAATTAAATTTGAATGGTCCGCCAGCCATGACTCCACGTGTTTCCTTAACGTGGAGGAGGCAATCTTCAAAAGGAAAGAAGCTGGGCTTGTTTTTTAGTTTTTTCTCGGACAATATCGCTGGGGATGCTTAATTTGTACTTATATTGATTGGTCCAATTTCCTCTTGATCATATTAGAATAAGTCTCGTTTCAGCCCGAAAATAATCAAGATGGGTCTTTGCAAGATGAGAGGAGAAAGGAATTTGGGACAAGACGGGACACAAGATTGTCCTCAAGACACGTCTCGTCCCATCTTGAATATTTTATATATATATTATTCTTATTTTTAATTTTTTAAATATACATTAAATATATTAATATAATTTATACTTATATTAATTATATCAATTATAATTTCAATACATGTAATTCTTATTTAAAATTAAATTTTTTTATATTGATAATTTTAATGATACAGACTTATAGAGTAAGTAATATAAGGTAATATCTTTCTTTATAATATATCAATTATATTAATACAATTTATTCTTATATATACTTATTTAACAATTTTTTATATTGTGTTTTTTACTTTATTTTCATATCTCGATTAAAGAAGAAGAACGATGATTTGATATTATCCATGGTTTGTCTGTTGTTGTTACTTTGATAATCTAAAAATTACTTATAAGTGCTATCATAATGTTATACACTTGTAATTGTAATTGATGTAATTTAATAATTGACTTTAAATCATTGTGATTTATCTATTCATTTTCTTTTAATTTTTAATTTAATAAATTATATAATTTAAAATTTTAATAAATATTATTATTCAAATTTTTTTGTCATATTGTTCAATTTATTGAAATGGTAGGATATTTTAATCTTACTTCAATCTTGTCTTAATTTTTAATAAGACGGAATGATTTTTAAGATAAGGTGAAATATAAAATTAAAATTTAATTCTGATTTTTTTTTTTTTAAGATGGGACATGAGTGTTTGGGTCCCATCCTCTCATTTGAACACACATGTTTATCACGAGAATGGGGGATGGGGGCACCGTCACTCTCGGACTACCGGTGCTCATTCACATCATTTAGTTGAGGAGTTGACTTATAAGTCTTGTGTAATTTATTATTCTTTTTTGACTTCTGGTCACGTTTTAATCTTATCTTGTGTAAGATATTGGTGAGAAACATTCAAAATTTTAAAATATAAAATATTTTATAAAAATAAAAATTTATTAATATTATTTTTTTATTATATTCTCTCTCTTTACTATTTTTTATAAACAAGAGGCATGTTTGTTTGGAAAATAGTTGCGTCATTTTTTCCTTTTCCCTATTTTTATCATTTTTTAAATCATTGTTAAATCTAAGCTTTTCAAAGATTCAAATATATATATGTATATATATATATATATTTTAAAATTATAATAATAATTTTATTAAATATTAAATTTAAACCGTTAAAATTTTAATATAATACTAGAGCCGGTAATTTGGGTCGAACCCGACGGGCCAGCCCGAACCTGCTCGAAAAATTTAGGGTCAAGCCTGAAAAAAATATTATTTTTTTATTCTTCGGGCCTATTCGGGCCGCCCGAATAGGCCCGAGGAAATTCTGGCCAAGCCCGATTAGGTTCGGGCTTGGCCCGAATACCCGAATAAAAAAATAATTTTTTAAAAAAATATATAAAATATGATAAATATTAATTAATTTTTTAAATTTTATATCATTTTATTCCAAAATACTATATATATAAGTGTTTTAATGTAGTTATTTTTTTAAAAAAAATTAAAATATTTATATTTCATATTTTTATTATTTTTAATCAATAAAATATCTCAAAATAATATTTAAAATATATTTAATATTGATTTTAATATTTTAAGACCCAATTTTTGTTAAAAAAAATTTTGAGTCCTATAAATCATTTGCATGTAAAAAAATAATTTTATATTTTTTATAAATTAAGAGAATTAATTTTAAATTAAAAATAAAATTGAAAATAATTTTAAAAATAAAATTTAGGCATGTACGAATTTCTGACTCTACTACTAGATAAACATAATAAATAGAATAATATTCTTGAATAATTACTTGGTTATTGTCCATGCTAGATTTGGTTAAAAATTAAGAGTAAATTAGAGTAAGAATCCCTTTTATATAAGTGTTAAACAATATAAAAAGTTAAAGAAAAATGATTTCAAAAAAATAATATTTTACTCATAATTAAATAATTTTTTTTATAATACAATGATGACAATTTTTTTATATTCATAAAAATAAAAAGTATAATTTACCTAAAAGTTATTTAAAACTTTGAACTAATCAAAATAATAATTTTAAGTTAGTAGTCTAACTGTGATTGAATTGAGATCAGCTTAATCATAATTAAAATAATATAATTTAATTAAAATATATAAAATATTTATATATGACTATGATAAGAGCAATATTTAAACAATTAAGACATTAATTTACAAGTAAAGGAAAAATTCATGAATAAATTATACATAATACAACAAAATAATAACAGAGCTACTTAAATACAAAGTTGATAAATTATTTTTTATTTTATTCTTTTAAAATTAAGATAATATTTTACGATTAATAGAATTATTTAAAAATTAAAATTGGTTCAAAAAATACAGAAAAAATATTTTTAAAAAGTTTCGGATATTCGGGCCAGCCCGAATAAGCCCGAAGCCCGAAGGTGTTAGAGCCGGACTTGGCTATATGGGCTTTTTAGAAGGGATAGGATGCTTTAAGTCCGATCCGAATAAGCCCGGCCCGAATTGAGCCTGACTCAAATAAGCCCGGCCCGTCCGAATTATCGGTTCTATATAATACTAATAACAAGAAAAAAGAAAAGATAATTACCAATCGACAGGGAATCACGGGGTCATAAAGTAGCTTTGGTGCCTCACCCTCCAGTTCAATTAATCGTGGCTTGTACGTCTCAGTCTCATTCCATTCAATTCCTCATCAGCTCAGCAGTCAGCATTGAACCGTGAAGGACATCTCTCTCCGTGTTTCAGTTGAATATAATCACTTTTATATTCTAAGTTCTAAGTTTCTTTTCGTCTCTTCTTTCTTTTTTATTTGCTTCCTTCCTCTTTCTCTTACCTCTGCTGTTGCAGATGTTCTCGTCGCCGGCGAAGACGATGCAGAAGGGCCCGGTTTGGGACCGCTGCATTTCAGAGGTTGCATTATTCTTCATCAGACATCAGCTCGTAGTCATACTTGTGAGTCTCTCGAGCAGAGCTTCAAATTTCTCTCTCACACACAGTGTTTGTACGTATTTTTCTTCCCCCTTAACTAATGTTTGGTTGGAGGGGAGGGGAAAAATTTCCCCTTCCCTCCACCCTGTCGCATCACTCTCCTTCCCTTATTTGGTAAGGTGTTCCCAAAACTTCCTCCCAAATTGAGGGGATCTCCCTCCCCTCACCTCCTTTTACCCTCCATCCCCTTTCTTCTGACCAAACAAAGTCTTAGGTGAATGCTTTTACAGATCGACGGGTTTGCTACTTTGCTTTGCTGCTGGCGAGTTGATCTGAGAGACATGCGTCACTGAGGAAAACGTTGCAGGTTCTCCGGTTAATTTTGCAAAACGCCTGTCAACTGTTAATCAAATTCAACGTATGAGCTGTTTAAATTGTTTCTCGCTAATTAATAGTTCATGATTATTTTAGGAAAGATGATCATAAAATTTTTTTAAAATATATAAATGATAATTTAATTATTTAAAATATTATAATTTTTTTAAATATTTAAATTTTTTTTTATCATTAATAAATTTATATAAATTATTAAATTATCCTTGTTAAAAATAAATGATTCACAAATTTCGTTTAAATATTCACAATTTTTTTTCAAATCACTTTTATAAAAATAAAAGTTGTAAATATTTAAACGAAATTTGTGAATTATTTATTTTTAACAAAGACAATTTAATAATTTATATAAATTTATTAATAATAAAAAAGTGTATAAAAACTTTAAAAAAATTATAACATTTTAAGGGATCAGATTATCATTTATATATTTTAAAAAAATTTTATAAACGTTTTTCCTTTATTTTATTAACATGAATTTAATATTGTTCACAGTTTTTAAGTGTGAAACTACATCTTTAGGCTCTGTTTGGTGAGTAAAATTTCTCCTTTCCTTCCTTTCAAAATCTATCTTCCCCTCAATTTGGGTGATGTCTCCTTCCCCTCTTCCCCCCCCCCCTCCCACCTCCCTGTTTGGTGTTAAATCCATGTTAATAAAAAAAATTAGCCTCAACTGAACTTGCTCATCATAATCCATATTAGTCTTTTTTTGAATTGAAAGAATAGATTAAAGTACATGCATCTTGAGTAGCATTTTTCGTCCTCGTAAAATAAAGAAAAATAATTAGTTCCTGCACAAAGCTCTTCCTCCATGTTATCAATAATATGCGCAACTTTTTTCTTAGCTGCGGAAGCCACTTTCTGAGCTGGTTCCAAGATGGTTTTGTCCTCTCTAAGACTGTACGTACTCTTCATCTGGGGAAAAATTATTGTCTAGCAAATCAAACTCTCTTTGGAGTGATCCAGCAATATTAATGACAAAAAAAAAATAGCAAAATTCATTTTATAAAATATTTTTTCACTACAATTCATGAATTATTCAGGCAATCAAATTTTAACAATTCAAATTTATCTATCTATCTATCATAACTTTCGAGGAAGGAAAGTTCCAGGAAATTTTGTTAGACACAAACGCGTCGAGATCCGAAGCACAATCGAGGGCAAAAAGTGGCCGCGGATTCACATTAACCAGCTGGAAGGTGCAAGCTTACTGCATTGTCTTTCGCTTAGGGTTTTAAATAGGCATTCACCTGAAGAAAGGAAAAAAAAAAAAAAACATACCCTAATTGGCTAATTTTGAACACGATGAAGTTCGTGGGTCGCGACGATCTCTTCAACTGGTTCCGCAGTGGGTTTGTCCTCTCCAAGACTGTGATCTTCATCTGGGGTAGCAGTAATTTCTCAGTCTCCAGATCAACAAGTTCCTAGCTAGTTCCTTGAGCTAGATCTACTAGGAGATTACTCGATCGCCATTAACTTCTTTCTTCCTTTTTTGATCTGTTACGTTTAAATTAACCTAGATTGAAAGTATCAATATATCTGTTGGAATATTAGTTAGTTAATTATGTGGTTAATATGGATCACTTAGTTATTGATAACCTTAAAATCTATATATAAAAGGCATCATATTCTATTAGGGGTTAAGAAGGTTTAATCTTACCTAAAAGAGGTGGTTTTGATATTCATTCTTCTAGTGAAGGATTATGTTTTGTAATGTTCAATAATGTTAATCAAAAAATGTGCTCATTTTCTTCTCCTGGCCCATTCAATTCTTCGTAATTTTAACAATATCTCTCATTTCTTCCTTTAATGATATTTATATTTTTATTTCAGGTTTAGCTTTCAGCTATGCTTTTGTAAACAAGGGAGCGGTGAGCGTTTTGGCTGACTTCCTAATTGATAGGGGTATTGATCTACTGAATGTTACTTTGCTGGTGACTTTGCTTGATGCGATATCAGCTGTGTTAATACCTGCTGTGATACACGTATCCGAGGCTTGCGCAGGTCGCTTCAAGGCCATTATCTTCTGCACCGCAGCCTATACTACGGTCAGTGTTATCTTATTATATTGACTTCGTAAACTTGCTTTAAAGAAACTCATGTTATGGCTGATTTGCTCGATAATTTATATTAGTTCCCATAGGCTATATAGCTTAAATACTTTCAAATCAATCCTTATATTTATCAAGGAAATGGAAAAGGCTTAGTTTAAAAGTCTAGCTACTATGGTTAATAGAATTTGACTTTATATAAATAATTTGTTTAAATTACGCCTACCATGATAAAGAAAAAAGGGGGAGAATGACATATAGATTCCAAAGAGACAAATTAATTCAAAGTAAGCTCTAAAGTGTCAAAATTTAGGAATCTGCAAGTTCAACTCTCAATTTTGCAACTTTATTGTGATGAATTTGTAACTTGTGTTCCAAATTTTAACAGGAAAAATAAATTTTATTTTTTTTCAAGCATATTAAAATTTAAAAAATAAGTTACAAATTTATTACAATAAAATTATAAGATTGAGAGTCGAAGTTGCAAATTCTTGAAATTTGACATTTTGGGACTTACTTTGAATTAATTTATCTTCTTGGGACCCATCTATCATTTTCTCAAAAAAGATTCTACTGTGGTAGAATAAAAATAAACAAGTTAATTAAGCTCTACCATAGTAGAAAAAACTAAACTAATATGATGAGGAACTATTATGGTAGAAAAATTTGAAAGTAAGTTTAATAATTGAACAACCTTTCGAAATTTGGGATCCCAAGCATAACCAAAATCATTTTCGATCCTTTTAGGCAAAACTTATATGATAATTAAAGTTTTAAAAGCATTTGAAAACATGAGAAACCAATAGGTTTTGAAAACAAATCAAAATGGGGCTCAAAATGGTAATTTTCCTAAAACAAGACACGTTTGTCACGACGAAGCATGCATGCGTCCCAACGTGTCCTCATTGTAGCTTGTGTCGTGATGAAGACACCAACCCATGTGGTACAGCAAAATGCTGTCCAGCTAGATTTGGATGCCAATTTCTAGAACACCCTAAATCTCTGTCTAACATTTAATTGATGTGATTTAGGTATTTATAAAAATCTTACTCAATCAACTAGTTAATGACACTGGTCTCATTTCTAAGTATTTTTACTTCACAAACTTGGACACCCAAAATCAAAACAATATCTTCTTCACTCTTTCACCATCCCAAGGTGTCCAAATCCACTACCAAGTACCAATAACCTAACACAATACATAAACCATACTCAACAAACCTAGGACAACCTGTACAATGCATCACATATAAACATTTCATCATATATCACAAAATTTGACCCTCAACCCCAACTTTTCAACCTAATCAAACAAGGAGGTTTTTCATACCACAAACTCAACATAAATCCATGCAAACAATTACAAACAAACTTGTAATAGTGTTATGCCCCTACTTAGATTAACAAATTCATATCACATCATCTTGGACTTAAAATACAATAAAATCACATTCAACATACCAATGGTGCAAGAATGACAAAAGAATTATCCTAATTGGCAATATCATTTAATTACACATAAAATTACCAAATTATAAGGGCATTATAGAAGAGACAATTAGTCCTTAACGTCTGATGTCTTCCCTTTGCTTCTACCGAAATTATCATGTGTAATTATGTTAAGAGAGAGGTGAGTACAACCAAGGTACACTAAATCAAGAACATGAAAATCAAGTCAACTAATAGGCACATAAAGTAGACAATTTAACAGAAATCAAATATATCCATGGTACGAATGATTAGTGCACCAATCTTATATTTTTTTCAACTAAATCTATGAACCATTAATACAAATAGGACAAACCCATGTGATTGGATTAGTCCAAACTCTCTAATTATGAAGGGTCACCTAATTAAGGCTTTCACATTCACTCTCAAACTATGAATTTTTCCTTTCTCAAATCTTGGTGGGCGTTATAATGCCTTACCTTACACCCCATTCAAGATGATATTAAGGGAAAGCCCCATGCCACATCCAATCTAGGGTGATATTAGGATTCTTAGATTTAGATGCCCTACCACACACTCAATCTAGGGTAATATTATAGGCAATTAGCTCTAGATCAAACATTGAGGCTACCCTAGTGATAGTATTATCTATGTGGATTTAATTTACTAATCTCCTCATAGGGTGAACTCACACCATTCACAATGATCATACCACAAACAATGCTTGTTCCATAATAATCAACATTTAACACATTTTAAAATCACATTTCATTAAATTTCATTACCATCATCATATAACAATACATATCATAAATCATACCCACTTGCGTACATATTCCAAAAACATAGAACACATGCTTTTGTTATATACAAATATATATATATATATATTCAAGTTTACACGATCTATTAATCTACCAAACAAGCAAAATACAAGAGATGGTTTTCCCTTAATTACCTTAAACCTTTGGTAACCAAAGATTCAACCCCCTGATGACTTGCTTCCTTAACTAAACTTTCTGCTCAAACGGAGCACAATGTTAATCTACATTAATCCAACAACTATCATCAATATCAACAACTTTCTAACTATGTACCTTATACTAACCAAATACCGAAACTCGTGTCTTTCACAAATCTAAATTTTTAAAATCATCTATTAGCTTAATTAGGTAACATCTTCATATAGCTCCCAACAATACAAATCACCATTCTAACTTCCAGGATTCGTCCATAGTGGAAGACCCACTAATATAATCTTGTTAAATCATAAAACTTAGATTTAGAAACTTAAAACAACTCCCATTAGTCCCTTTGGATCTAATGGGTTCATCCAAAACTCTCCCACATTAGATATCATTATCATCCACCCCCAAAACCTAGTACAAAAACATGTAGAGAGGAAGAGAAATAAAAGGATATGATTAGCTTGAAGATGGAGTCCTAAATCCTCTCAAAATGCCCACCAAAAAGTTGCCCTAGTAGCTCCCTAACACTCCACCGTTGCTCCTCCTCTTCTTTCTTTCTTTTCTGTCTCGATACTCTTGTTTGATTATATCAGATTCCACACGGTAGATGGTTAAAAAAGCTTAAAATGCAATATGCACCTCCATTTGGGCCCAAAGTGGCCTAAGACACCTCATTTTCCAATTCCAAGGTTGTCCCCAAGACCAACAGGTTCATTAGTTGTTCAAAAATATTATTAACTTGATTATTTGGTCAATTTACTAATTTATCTTTCTCGACTTATTAAATTTCAGGACTAGTATTTGGGATGTTACAAACTGTAATGCTCAAACATGATATATTAATCACAAATGAGGAAATAAGAAATGAATAGATGATATACCTTGAGCCATAATACAGATTTCAATGAATTTAGGTGCAGTGAATGGCTTAATTCCACTCATTCAATAAGTATCTCAATTATAATTATTAAATTTTATCCATACTTAAAAATTATCAAAATACATTTCTTTCTAAAAATTTACAACGATCCTCACAATCAAATCACTTTATCCCTTTCAAAAATTTGATATTTAGTATTTTTTGAGTATTATGTGAGAAAATTTCTTACAACCATTTAATTACATCAAACAATTATTATCATATCATGTGAAAAACGCATTGAATGAGTGAATTTAGTCTTAAACCATTCACCCAATCCAAATCTGATTTCAATTAGTATAAAGGATCGGAAACCAAATGTTCGGAACACTTATTAATTGGTTCTACTTGAAGGGATTCCGGGTTATTTCCTTTCTCGCGACAGTGGCCATAAGGAGACCTAGCTAGTTCGCACGAGAACCGTGGCTCCACTTCGCATGCTTATTTACAGTTTATAATAATTTGTAACTAAACTTTTATGGTTGCAAAGAGGGAGCAAGAAACTTCACATGTTAAAATGACGTTACTCTTCATAGAAAATTTATTTTGAATAACTATTGGTTATCACTCATTAAACTATGTCGGTTCATATATAAAACAACATATATAGATTTATGATTTTTAAATGAAGAGTTTTATTACTTATAAAATGTGATGTGAAAAGCTCAATCCAATAATTTAAATATATAGCAAAAATAAATTCTTGTCACTTGCTGGAATTCCAGAGAAGTAATTGAACAAATATATTGAAGAAAATAAATAGCACAATTCAAGAGACACTAGAAATTATTAACATGAAAAACCCTTCAATGCAAGCATAAAAATCATGGGTCATACTATGATCAAAATATGGTACAAAAGAGTTTCAATCAGATGCACAAACAAATGCAAACAATTAGCCAAAGTACCAAAGTAATAAGCTTCCAAAAGAGAAAGAGAAGAATGAAAGACACCCAAACTGGATGCAAATAGCAAACTAAACAACTCTTACAGTAAGAAAAAAATGAATGATCCGACCGTTGAAAATAACAAACCCAATGTTCCAAACAAGTTGACAATATTTCAACCTGATCCAACAGTTAAAATCCACAAATACAAATTTATCGAAACTACCTGTAAACATGTGAAAATAACTTTTTCACAAATAGTTGCACCTAAACCTTGAATATGACCTCTCTCCCCTACCCTAATGATGCAAACAAAAACCAATAGACATTGCAAGAGTATAGGTTGCAATTGTAGCTAATAGTAAACTAAGGTCGATCTTATAGAGAATTAAGTAAAATGGCAAATAGGCATTAAATTCTCAATTTCATTCATATTAAGTAAGCACATTATAGTGGTGAATGATTCAATTTAAAAATAAAAATGTAAAGTAAGCAACTAAGATTTTGAAGTACTTTAAAGGCAAGAAAACAATTAGGAAAGCACCTATAGTTTTAATTCCTCATTTGCTCCATTGCACTCATCTGATCAATTAAATTGATTTTAATTTCAATTTTAAGGGTTAGGACACTAGAATTAGTCTTGAATATCTTCTGATTATCTAAAATCCTCCTTAATTCTAACCCAATAATTCCTTGCCAAAATTAGAATAAGAGCATTAAGTTCAAATACCTTCTAACCACTTAGGTCCTTTACATACATTCTTATTCTAGAGGCAAATTAACTATAGTTAATCATAAATATTCAATTCCAATGGTCCAAATAGAAATTCCTTTCTCAAGTTCATTCTATTCCTTTAAATTATCATCTAATAATGGTGACCAATCATCAAGCAACATAAAGCTAAATTGAAATTAAAACATAAAACATTCATTAATCACAAAATAATTGATAAATCAAGATACAACCGGAGCAAATGAGTTTATAGGACTCTAGAGCATCAAAGTTTAGCCACTCATAGTTAAATAACGCAGCAAAACAGCAGAACAATGGTTTAAATTCCGATACATATGAGAAAGGAGAAAAGTGATGTAAAACATAATGAAAATGTAGATGGTGATGAGTTATCTTGCTCACAAGCTTTAAAATCATCCCAAGCTGTCCAAAATCACCTCTGGATCTTTAGAAAACATAAAAAATGAAGCCTCCCTTGAAAAACTCTAGTTTTCCTCTTTTATCAAATAGAAAAATTGAAATTGTTCGTTCTGGTGCAAAATCCGTTGTAGCGGGCTTTGTTTCTAGTTCAGAATTTGCTTTTTAACACTGACCCGCTGTATGGGTGATCATTAAAGTTCAAGTTTTTCATTAAAATTATCATATTTTTCCTCTTCCACTTCTTCCAAGCTTTTGCAAGGGTTCCTAAAATTAAATGACTGAAATTAATAATAAAAATTAATCTAAAAGAAATCAAAACACAATATTTACAAACAAGCTAACCAACACCAAAATAAACACAAGATAATTAACTAAAAATAACTAGATAACTATCTAATTAACCAATAAAACTCCTCAAAATACATGAAAATATAGAGTCATTATCTAATATAAATCCCTTTCACTTTAACTAGTGAGACTCATAATGAGCTTCAACATTTGGACCTTCTCCACGACTATGTGAAGATAATTGCTAATCCAACAATCTCACAACAAGTTTCAAACTTTTTTCTTGTTACTGCCTTAGTCATCATATTAGCAGCAAAAGGCAACATTTCAAGTTATCACTTCTTTCTCTATAAAAACCCCTCATCATCTTTTATTTCTAACATCCAAACTCATTACTTTTGTTTCTGAGTACACTAAAGATGAGGTCAAGTTATCATTTTATAAACATCATTGTTGTCTTGGTTTGAATTTTGAGAATGCAAATCACAATTGAGAGTCTTCTTTGTACTCTGAAGAAAATTGACTGTCAGACCCAATTTGTACCCAAAACTTGAAATAAGTGGGGACAAATTAAGTCTAAAGAAAATGCATCTTGTGCTTTGAAAATTTGTGCATAACTTTCTTTCTCATCTCTACCCTTCAAAGAAACATTCCCACTAACAATCTTTAAGCTTAATTTTGTTCACTACACTGAGTTCAAAGTCAGTATTTGATCGTTCATTGTTTTAGTCATTCTTTAAAATTAGAGTACTAAAATAAAATGTGAACTTTAAAAGCGAATAAAGGTATTCCTTTTGTTGATAAAACAAGGAATTTTTAATTACAGGGATCGTTTCTACTAGGGGTTCGCGCCCCCATTTCGCGGCACCTCCTTCCGATGATTTTCACAATAGCACTTATTGCATTAGGCAAAGCCGGAGAAGAGCCAACTTTAAGAGATTTTTTTGATTATCAACTGAGGGAAGCGAAGAAAAAATGTACCTTGAATACCGAAGGAGAAGACGAGGAATCCGAATCATCGAAAGAAAAAGAAAGACCAGAATCAGGTAACAACGGCAGCGGAACTACCAATCTTTGGTGGTATATGGCTTCAATTATGGGCTCCGCTATGGCTTTCTTATGCCAGTTCTTATTTGATTCTTGGCGTGAAACTTTCATAGTTTCGTCTGTTGTTATGGGAGCTACGTATTTATTATTTTTTCTTGGCATTTTCTGCTATTATCCTGAAGAAAAACCCTCTGGAAGCCCTGTCACAATCATTTATAGGGTCTTTAAGGAAGCTATTAAGAAGCGCAGATTGTCATACCCATCTTCAAAACATGGCTATAACAATGAAGGTTCAGATGATACATTAGATGATCTCTTTTATCCGACAGCTGACAATGGAGATGAGGTTCACTTGTTGCCACGTCATCCATCATTTTTGTCGTTCTTGGACAAGGCAGCTATTAAGAACAATTCCGATGATGGTGGAAGCGAAGAGAGAAATGAAAAGGAGGATTGTACGGCTGAGCAAGTGAGGGACGTGAAGAGCCTTTATCCCATTATACCCTTGGAGGTCTTCACCTTCTTAGCATACAATTTTGTTTCTGCTTCTAGCAACACTTACTTTGTTCTGCAAACAACCAACTTGTATTCTTATGTTAGTAAATTTGATGTTCCTATCATGGTTTTCCCTGCACTCCAATATCTGGTTGCTTCTGGGGTTACAAAGATAATCGAATCGCCAGGAACAAAAGAAAAGGTGAAACCAATTTGGAATATGGCTTTTGGGATGTTGTTTTCAGGAGTTTGCTATATTGTGGCTTGGCAAGTAGAACGTCAAAGGCTTTCTCTGGTTAAGTCTCTACGTCATCCAGATAAGGACATAATTTCCTTGAGCATCATGGTTTTGATTCCTCAGTTTTTGTTGCTAGGGCTAATGAACGGATTTGTAGAATGCGGACTGCAGACTTTCTCGCGTGATCGAGTGCACTCTACAACAACAACAAGCCTTTATCCCATTAGGTGGGGTCGGCTACATGGATTGCAAGACGCCATTGTGCTCTATCGTTTATCAAGCTTTTAGGAATATTATTAATTAAGAGATCGCGTTCAACAACTTCCAAGAGTGTTCTCTTAGGCCTTCCTCTACCTCTCTTAATCGGACTCAAAGTTATATGTTCCACTCTTCTCACTGGTGCCTCCCTTGGTCTTCGTTGTACATGCCCAAACCATCTCAACCGATTTTCTACCATTTTTTCCTCAATAGGTGCTACCCTCACTTTTTCGCGTATGTGCTCATTTCGAATTTTATCTTTACGTGTATGTCCGCACATCCATCGTAACATTCTCATCTCTGCTACTCTAACTTTATGCTCTTGCTGTCCCGTTAGAGCCCAGCATTCACTACTATATAACATTGCCGGTCTGATAGCAGTGCGATAAAACTTTCCTTTAAGTTTATTAGGCACCTTACGGTCACAAATAACTCCTTTAGCTTTTTTCCAATTAAACCACCCAACTTGAATTCTATGTGAAATATCTCCACTAATTTTGCCATCATTTTGAATAATGGCTCCCAAATATCTAAACTTTTCTACTTGAGGTATAATTTGATCTCCCAATTTCACTTCCAAATTATTGTCGAATAGTCCTTTACCAAATTTACAATATAAATATTCCGTCTTACTTCTACTTAGACGAAAACCTTTCGACTCCAATGTCCTCCTCCATAACTCAAGTTTGCAATTAACCTCTTCTCTTGTCTCTGCTATAAGAACTATATCATCCGCAAAGAGCATACATTTCGGGATTTCTTCTTGAATATGTTCCGTCAAAACATTTAAAATCAAGTTGAACAAATAAGGACTCAGAGTTGATCCCTGATGTAGTCCAATCTTTATAGGAAAATCCTTTGTTTGACCACTAGGCATTCTTATACTAGTTTTTTACCCCCTCATACATATCTTGTATGGCTTTAATATAAGCAATCCGTACTCCCTTTTTTTCCAACGCTTTCCAAAGCACTTCTCTTGGTATACGGTCATAAACTTTTTCCAAATCAATAAAAACTATGTGTAGATCTTTATCTTTACAACGATACTTTTTCATTAATCCCCTTAGTAGATAAATCGCCTCTGTAGTTGATCTACCTGGCATAAAACTAAATTGATTCTCAGAAATACTTGTCTCCAATCTCAACCTGTGCTCAATTACTTTCTCCCACAATTTCATTGTGTGGCTCATGAGTTTAATCTCTCTATAGTTAGTACAATTCTGAATATCTCCTTTATTTTTATAAATAGGAATTAATGTACTTCTCCTCCACTCATCAGGCATTTTCTTGGACCGTAAAATCACATTAAATAACTTAGTTAACCATCTCACCCCTTTTTCACCTAAACATTTCCACGCTTCGTGTAACAGTCACACCCCCCCGAGCCCACTGCTGCGAGTGGTGGACTGGGCCGTGCCACCTCACGGCAACCACCAGCCGGCTTTCCCCATGGTAGTTCATGGGTTATTCCCCGCACCCACTGCGCTAAGGGAGCCTTCCCAGGTTCGATCCTCCAACCTCTCCTACATAGCGAAGTTGAGGCTGAACCTGGTACCATTGAGTCAGTTTTATGTAACAGTCACACCCCCCCGAGCCCACTGCTGCGAGTGGTGGACTGGGCCGTGCCACCTCACGGCAACCACCAGCCGGCTTTCCCCATGGTAGTTCATGGGTTATTCCCCGCACCCACTGCGCTAAGGGAGCCTTCCCAGGTTCGATCCTCCAACCTCTCCTACATAGCGAAGTTGAGGCTGAACCTGGTACCATTGAGTCAGCCGGCTTTCCCCATGGTAGTTCATGGGTTATTCCCCGCACCCACTGCGCTAAGGGAGCCTTCCCAGGTTCGATCCTCCAACCTCTCCTACATAGCGAAGTTGAGGCTGAACCTGGTACCATTGAGTCAGTTGACTCAATGGTACCAGGTTCAGCCTCAACTTCGCTATGTAGGAGAGGTTGGAGGATCGAACCTGGGAAGGCTCCCTTAGCGCAGTGGGTGCGGGGAATAACCCATGAACTACCATGGGGAAAGCCGGCTGGTGGTTGCCGTGAGGTGGCACGGCCCAGTCCACCACTCGCAGCAGTGGGCTCGGGGGGGTGTGACTGTTACATAAAACTGACTCAATGGTACCAGGTTCAGCCTCAACTTCGCTATGTAGGAGAGGTTGGAGGATCGAACCTGGGAAGGCTCCCTTAGCGCAGTGGGTGCGGGGAATAACCCATGAACTACCATGGGGAAAGCCGGCTGGTGGTTGCCGTGAGGTGGCACGGCCCAGTCCACCACTCGCAGCAGTGGGCTCGGGGGGGTGTGACTGTTACACTTCGATAGATATACAATCAGGTCCGTTGGCTCTACCATTTGCCATTTTCTTAAGAGCTTCCTTTACCTCCTTATCACGTATTATTCGATAGAATGACAAATTTTGTTCTCCTTCACCAGTTACTAAATCCTCCAAGTTACTAGATGAATCCTCTCCATCATTGAAGAGTTTAGAAAAGTAAGTTTTCCATCTATTTTTAATTTCATCATCTGTAACTAAAATTCTTCCCTCTTCATCCTTAATACACCTTACCTGTTCTAGATCTCTTGATTTTCTTTCCCTACTCTTGGCAATCTTATAAATATTTTACTCTCCTTCCTTCGTCTCAAGGTTCTTATAAAATTCTTCAAAAGCTTTAGAACGAGCTTCACCCACAGCTCTCTTAGTTTCTTTCTTAGCCATACGGTACCTCTCCCAATTTTCCTCATTGTTACACAAATGTATGGCTTTAAAACAGTTCTTCTTATACTTGATTTTGTCCTGTACACTATTATTCCACCACCAAGATTCCTTATCTCTCGGACCAAAACCTTTCGATTCTCCCAAAACTACTTTTGCAACCTCCCGGATCTTTTTAGCCATATCCTCCCATATGATATTAGCACTTCCCTGAGATTCCCAAATTCCTTTATCCAAAAGATTTCGCTTGAAAATATCTTGCTTCTCACCTTTTAATTGCCACCACCTAATCCTTGGTGTTACTACTTGTCGACGTTTTTGGATTTTACTCATAATACACACATCAAGGACTAGGACCCTATGTTGTGTCGTTACAGCATCTCCGGGGATCACCTTACAATTTTTACAAAGTCTTCTATCTGTATTCCTAACCAAAAGAAAATCAATCTGTGACCTTGAGGCTCCACTTTTGTAAGTGATGAGATGCTCATCTCTCTTCTTGAAACAAGTGTTGGCAATCTTAAAATCATACGCCAATGAGAAATCAAGAAGAGTTTGTCCTTCATTGTTTAGCTCTCCAAAACCAAAACCACTAGGCACCCTCACATACTGACCAGTTTCCCTCCCGACATGCCCATTAAAGTCTCCTCCAATAAAAATCTTTTCATTCTGTGGTATGTGTCGAATCAACCCCTCCAGATCTTCCTAAAATAATTCCTTAAGACTGGCTTCTGTCCCGACTTGCGGCGCATAAGCGCTAACAATATTAACAGTCTCACGTCCAATTATCATTTTTAAGGAAATAATTCTGTCTCCAATTCTGCTAACTTCTACAACGTTCTTCTTCCACTCCTTATCTATAATGATGCCTACTCCATTGCGAGCACTTACTTTCCCTGTATACCAAAGTTTGAAACCTTGAATATCCTTAGCTTCTTCTCCACGCCATTTTGTTTCTTGCAGGCAAAGGATATTGATTTTCCTTTGAATCATAACCCCTACAACCTCTACAGATTTACAATTTAATGTCCCAACATTTCAAGTACCAAATCTAATTTTGCTCTTATGGACTAACTTCTTTAGCCGCGTGCGTCCAGAATGACGCAGTAGCCCTTGCTCATTTAACACTACATCCGGGCGCCGATGCAGCGGCTCTAACTCACTTATCACTATACTCGAGCCATGCAGCGCGTTACTTACGGACAACGACCTAGCATTAACATTATAACGTCTATTGTCCATGTTCATGATAGATTCAACAAAGTTTTACATTGGCTGTTGATGGCCTAACACAACCCTCCTCCTTTACCCAGGCTTGGGACCGACTATAAACATAGGCGGAGTTGTGATCGGGTGCACTCTGAGTCAATAAAAAAATTTGTGGATCCGTTCATTGGAATGGTGTTGGGGATCGCAAAATTGGCCAGCATTCTATTTACATCGATCATCTTTCGCAGCTGGATCAAGGGTAAAATAAATGATAGTCGCCTGGACAAGTATTATCTGGTGTTGGCATTACTAAGCTTCGTGTACCTTGGGATCTATGTGTCCCACGCCAAGTTCAAGCTCCAGATAAAACCCCAATCTGTAGAACCAGAAAGGTTGCATGAGTTGGACTTGGAAGCCGTCCTGGACCAGGTGGATATTAGTAGTTCGGCTATGTAATGTAATGACTTGGACGTGGTAGTATAATTTGATTGATTTCATTGTGTTCATTATTCTTTGTTGGTGTATATATATATATATATATATATAGCTGAGCAAGTGTACGTGCAATGTGTATATTGTGTGAGTCAAGACCATTCTGATATACAATTATACACTATATACGTCAAATTCTAATATTCTTCATAGCATAATGAATTGATCACACTATTCAGTGATTTTAATTTCTTTTATTCTTTCTTCACTTTCCTTTACATGCTTCATAATTTTTATAATCATATATCTGACGGTTTTGGTTCACTACTAGTTGCCTATCATTATATATATAAAAGTAGGGTTAAAAGCTATAAAAAAATGCCATGTGTTTATTTTTAGGTTTGATGCAGTTTTGAGCTTCGGGATGTCTTTCTTGTAATTCTGTGCTTTGGAATTAAATTTGGAGGTTAGGTTTGAAATTTTTATTACTTTTTAATGTATATAAAATATATTATTTAAGTTTGGAGTTAGATGCAAGATGAATTATTAATTTTTAGATGTATATAAAAATTATTTTTTCCTATTTAAAATTCAAATCTAATCATTTAAAAAGGAGTAATCAAATATGAAAATGTCTATCTATTTGAATTCAAATTAATATATATTTATTTAAAAGTTGGGGGGAAAAATCTCTGCTTAAAAATTTTAATCTATCTTGGATGAGTTCCAAAAATTTCAATCTATCTTAAAAATATTCCTAAAATTAAGCTTCATATAATTGAGTATTTATATATATATATATATATACATATATTTAAATTCAAATTAAAATATTTCTATTTAAAAATTTTAGAAAAAAGAATCTATATTTAAATATTTAGATCTATTTTCATGATTTTTAAAAAAATTCATCGTATAATAAAGTACAGATATATATTTATTTGAATTCATATTAATATCTATCTATCTAAATATTTAGAAAACAATTATAGGCTTTACTAAGTCTATCTGTTTTGATTGCAAATATGTGGAAAATATAATTAAAAAAAATACTGGAGATTCAACTCTTGGTGAATAGATTTACTATAATAAAATATTTGTTAATTTATCTTTTAGACAAATTGGTTTTGAAAATGAGTTGTGCCTTTTGGTAAAAAAAAGAAGAAGAAGAAGAAGAAGAGTAGTACACATTATTTATAATTAAGGGAAAAAATATAAGTGCTTGATATCTTATATAAAAAAAAAACTATTTGGTTCCAATTAAATTGGTACGGATGAAGTTTAAAGTTTCAAATGATTAAAAGTATTAATAACAACAATTAATTAGCGTCAACAAAAATACAAAAAGAAATTAATTAGAATATAAATCATGAGTTCAAAAAAACATTATAAATAGTTAAAATTTATGAAATTTTAAATTATGAATTTAATAATGATTATTTATGCTAAATATAATTCAAATGTTTGAAGATATACTGATTTGTATTTCAAAGCTTGATTCTATTTGAATTTT